CGGAACTGTGGCTGTGATCATCATGCTTCTTGCCGTCTCAACGATGTGTCTGTTCTTCCTCTCTGCAACACTATTCTGCTGTGGACTATAGGAGCAACTGCTCTGATGAATAATACCATACTCCAACACTGCCCCTGTAGAAAGCCTTATGTGCTGATTTCGGCCAAGCTTCTTGTGAATGGAAGAGGAGAAAGTTGGGGATTTCAGCAATAGACAGAGGAAAGGGAAGAAAAGAGAAGAAGGTCGACTAGGATAGTGATCATTAACCCTAGCCGCCAGCATAATTAAATTAAGAGTTTATTTAAAAACATAGTTTTATTATTTTATACAACTAGCCCAGATGCCCAGCCTGGGCCTGGGATTTACAAACACTGCCCCTGTAGACCTATACCCCCCTGGCCCTGCTTCACAAAAAGAGATTCTCATGTACAAAAAAAGTGTTGTATCTCTTATCTCGAACAGTTTATATACAGATAGCCAAGACAACATTTTGCCCACTATTCTATGAAACACTAAGTTGGAAGAACTGCTATTGTTCTTGAAAATTGTTGCACGTATCTCCTGCCAAATGCACCAAAAACTGTTGCAGGCACCATGTTCCAAGCCAATATTTTCCTTTCAAGGTTAAACCTCCTACTCTCCAACCTCTTACAAAATCCATTACTGATTCCAGACAGCAGCTTTTTACTTCAAACAAGTTCCAGATTTTGAACCATACCTCTTGGGCAAAAATGCAGTGTAGCAGCAAATAATTCAGAGATTCCTCTTGGGCCTCACAGAAGATACAGCTAGTCGAAGCCAAATGCATACCCTTTCTTACCAAATTGTCCCTGGTTAAATGTCTATTCAGGCAGGCCAGCCAAACAAAGAAGGCCACCTTAGTGTGACATTCTTACACAAGACAACCTTTACTGGGAGATACTGCTCCCTCTGACCTTGAGATAGCATTATAGAAGGATCTAACTGAAAAATTCACAGATTTTTCCCATTTCCACGCTCTTCTATCAGCTCTTCCAATATCTACCTGAATATCATATAATCTTTGCAGATAATCCACCATTGCCTCTACGTCCCAATCATTAAAGTCTTCTGAACTGAGAAACCCACACCACACTGCTATTTTGCACCTGCATATTTTCTGCCACGCTTGATTCTTTGTTTACTGCCACATCAAAAAGAGCGGGAAAAATCTCCTTAAGTGATCTGTCTTAACACTACCCATTTTCCCAGAATTTTTCCGAGTCCATCTCCGATTTTAAATCTTACTCCTTTTAAGGCTGATAAAAAAATGTCATTCCTTTTAAGAAGGGGTCATGAGATTTCTCAAAACCTATCCGTACTGAGCATCCATAACTTTGATTTGGAGTTCCTAGTTCCCAATCTGAATTGCTAAAGCCATACTTAGCTGCAATCACTCTTCTCCAAAGTCCTCCCTGACTGKTTCCATTACCTCTAATACCACTTGCCCACGCACACCCAAACCTACTTGCTGTTTAGACTTACAGATCTTGTTCCAATTGCCCAGCTGGTATTTATTCTTCTCATCCCTCCATCCTCTCACAGAAACTGTCTCATTTTCTTTTCTACATTATTTACCACACTAGCTGGAATTGGGTACACAGACAGCAAGTAAATGGATAGGGAAGATAAAATACTTTTCAGCAACATTAGTTTGCCTCCATAAGCAAGATATTTTTTTATCACCTTTAGAGGTAGAGTCACGCTAATCAGATCATTCTTTTAAATCTTTAACAGGTCCATGAAAGTTTTTTTTTTTTTTTTTGATCAATAACAGTGAATTTTATTAAAGTATTGAAAATTACAAAGCAAAGGAGCTAAACAATCTTAACTCCCGAATACAACCAATGTACACTCAAAATGTAAAGAAATTACAGCACAGCCCAAAACATAGAGTTTCTGTTCACCCCTTGCCTAGGTAGACCATCTGCCAATGAATTTGCACTTCTCTTTACCCATGTACATTGAATTTCAATGTCCTTAGTCGGCCACTTAAATTTTCTCTTTTAATTGCTGT